GCCAATTTAAATATGAGTAAAAAACCCTGATTTGGGGGTTGAAAATAATAACTTTAAGTTTTAAAAATATTTTATTTTTATTTAATTTAATTAATTAATTTAATTTAATTTTTTTTTTCTTTTTGAGACAGGGTCTCCCTGTATCCCCAGCTGGAACTCACTATGTAGACTGGGCTGGCCTTATTTTTATTTTATGTGTATAAGTTACAGCCTACATGTCTGTAACTGTACCTGTGTTGTGCAGTGCCCTTAGACAGAAAAGGGCATTGGATCCTCTGGAACTGGAGTTATGGATGGTTGTTAGCCACCATGTGGCTGCTGGGAATAGAACCCAGGTCCTCTGCAAGAGCAGCCAGTGCTTTCAAATGCCGAGCCATCTCTCCAGCCCCATACCTTTTCAGTGTCCATAGAATTTTTAAATATTTTGGTTTCCTACTTTTCTGTTTCCCTTTTCACCCAGATACTACTGCTAGATGAGCCAACGGCAGGAATGGACCCTTGTTCCCGTCACATTGTTTGGAATCTTTTAAAATACAGAAAGGCTAATAGAGTAACAGTGTTTAGTACTCATTTCATGGATGAAGCTGACATTCTTGCTGGTGAGATTTTTGCTTTGTTTTTAAAAGATAAGATCATGGGCCTGAAGGGAGAGAGACATAGAAATGCTTAAATCCTTAGAAATAGAGAAAGTACTATCTAATGGTATATATACTATGTAAAAAAGATTTTTAAACATTAAAAATTAGGTGTTTTTGTGTTCAGTATTTCCCATACCATCCTCTGTTTCAGTGATTTCCTGAAAGAAGTCATGGTATATTTTGCATATTGTAATATTCATTATACATTAATTTATTTTAGCAAAAGAATATAAACTAATTTTAGCAAAGGGATGAATTCTATGGGGCAAAGTCTAGAGGAAGCCAAGCACAAATTTCCCAGAGTCCCTTCCAGTGAAGTCACACAACACATGTATGAAATATTGTCTGCCAGGGAGATTTGTTAAGAGACTCAGTGTCCGAGATTCTGTGGGGTATTGATCATATAGCTTCTCTCTTTCAACACATAAAACATTTCAGACCCCTGAAAGGAAAGCAGGTGTTCAGCATAAACTGTACATTTTTTGTTTGCAGAATTGTGGCATAATGAGACATCCTTATCTGTTTTGAGACTAACAGGAGCGTCCCCAAATCTAGATTCCCAGATGCAAGCCGGGGGCCAGCCCTGTAAGCACATCATTCTAAGAATAGCATTCTCTGGCCTGTTATATTAGCAGTTTTGTGCACAATTTTATTCTAGCACACATGGATAAAAGAATCCAGGTTTAAGTTAGTATGTGGTTTCTAATACCTGTGAGAAGGTCCAAGAGTTTGAAGTCTCGGTGCTTCCTCTTTTGGTGTATAATGCATTGGGTAAGTCATTTCTTCAGTATTTATTTAAAAAGAACCCAACAGACAACATTTTTTTGTTATTTCTGTTCAGTTTTAGGGTACATTTGATTTTATAAGACTCTTATGAAAACTTCTGTACTATTAGCCCTTTAAGAAGAGTCTGAGTTATTTGGAGTAGTATTAAGGAATGTGTACTCTAGAGTCAGACTGCCTGTATACAACTCCTGCCTGGCTTTGTTGTATTAATAGCTCTGTGAGAGATTTCTAAGCAGAGTCTGTTCTGCCTGCCTTGGTGTTCTCACCTGACAGATGGATGAGGCTAGTCCATTGTTTTCCTCTTCAAGTTGCTGTGATGATGAATGTTATAGTACTTGGATATCTTTCATAAAGTTACAAAATATAGATGCCAATTATTAATGCTGTTATTTACTTAGAAATTGAAATGTGAATTTCAATTTGCAGATAGAAAAGCTGTGATATCACAAGGAATGTTGAAATGTGTTGGTTCTTCAATTTTCCTCAAGAGTAAATGGGGGACTGGCTACCGCCTGAGGTAACACACGTTTGTTTAGGACTTTCTTCCTATATTTATACTTATCTATGCTCATTATCTTTAAGATTTGATGTCGTGTGCCTTGACCATGTTTTGTGATGCTAGATTTGATTTAAAGCATTTTGCTTGTTTATTGAATAATCATAAAAATTACAATTTTTGGTTTTCTCTAGCATGCACATAGACAGATACTGTGCTACGGAATCTCTTTCTTCACTGGTTATGCAACATATACCTGGAGCTGCTTTATTGCAGCAGAATGACCAACAACTTGTGTACAGCTTGCCTTTCAAAGACATGGACAAATTTTCAGGTATTTCTTTCACTTTCTTAATTGAATAGGGCTTTTGAATTCAGGGAACAGGTCTTCTTGATTGTCTTTTTTGTATATTTCTCTATGTAACATTCCTATTTCCTGCTTATCAGAGCTAATATTGTTTTGTCTTTGAAAACCTGAAATACTCCACACTGATGTGGCCGTTTTTGTGTTTCTCTTTTTACAAATAGTATGCAGGGAACTAATATGTTAAATTTAATATGTAATGCAAGAAAAACTTAATTGTGTTTACATTGTTAAGAAGAAAAGAAATTGAAGCTGGGTTTGGTGGTTCATGTTTATAAGCACAGCGCTTGGGAGGCAGAGGCAGTAGAAGGATCACCACAAGTAGGAGGCCAATTTGGTCTCCACAGAATGTTCCAGGCCAGCCCGGCCAGGCCTACATAGGGAAACCCTGCCCCAGAAGCTCCCAGAATTTCTTGCAGGTTTCTTGTTGTTAAGAAGAAAAGAAATTGAAGCTGGGTTTGGTGGTTCATGTTTATAAGCACAGCGCTTGGGAGGCAGAGGCAGTAGAAGGATCACCACAAGTAGGAGGCCAATTTGGTCTCCACAGAATGTTCCAGGCCAGCCCGGCCAGGCCTACATAGGGAAACCCTGCCCCAGAAGCTCCCAGAATTGCTTGCAGATTTCTTGAGGATAAAATTGTGTGTGTGTGTGTGTGTGTGTGGTGTGTTTGTATGCACATGTGTGTGTGGGTGCTTGAAGAGGGTATTGGTCCCCTGGAGCTGGAGTTCCCTGGTTGTAAGCCTCTTGACATGAGTGCTGGGAACTGAACTCATCCTCTGAACAGCACTGAGTATTCTTACCTGCGAGTCATCGCTCTAGCCTCTTATTATTGTAATTAAAGCTTTATTTTTAAGCTTTATAATGAACTAAAATTAGTCTTCTTTGTTTGTTTAGGAATTAATAGCCCAAACCATTACCGATGTACGTTGTCAGAATTCCCATAGCATTTATCTCATAACTAGCAGTGTATTTTCTATAGTTGTTTTGAGTTCTTTCAAAAAAAGACACCACTAAGTAATATATATGTGCCAGCCGATGCTCCTTATCTTATTCTGCCTACTAATGGCTACCTCTCTTTCATTATCTAAAAACAATTATATAGCACTTATTTTGTACCAAATGGTCTATGGGCTTTTCACAATTAGTTTATTTAGTCATCTCTGTTTCAACAACTGTGTGAGATAAATACCATTTTTTGGCTTCCATTCCATTTTGTAAGTGAGGAAACCAAAACATAAAAAGATTTAGGAAACTTGCCCAAAGTAACCCAGGTGGAAAGTGAGTGGAGCTGAGGTATGAACCAGGCTGACTGCTTTCAGAATGTATTTGCTTTACTTGGTTGCCGGTAATGATTCTTTGATAAATTGCCACAGTATTTCACTAGATTACAAAGTGTGTTCTTGAAACACCAGGGGATGGATTTAGACCTCTTGAATGAATTTATGAGGTGAATACTTTGTGGTAGTTTTACCAAGAGGTTAATGACATTTTTGACCCTCAGCTTCTCATGTACAGCTTTTTCCAGAGACTATGACATGTGCTATCACAGCAGGTTTAATACAGAAACAATTTTATGAGAACCCGTCTGTCCTCTAAGACAGACATTGAAGAAATAAAACAATGTTCTCTTCTTTTTTTAATTAAAAATTTTTTAGACTGAAAAGTAAAGTAAAATTAAATTGCATAATAGATATATTTTATTTTAAAAACATGTTTTAATATACATGCTATGTTTATCAACTGTCTTATTTTTTTAACATTTCATTTATTATTGTTATTTTATGTGTATATGTGTATTGCTTGCATGTAGGTAAGTGCACCTGTGTCGTGCAATGCCTGCGGAGGTTAGAAGAGGCTATCGGATCCCCTGGGACTGGAGTTACAGACAATTATTAGCTGCCATGTGGGTGCTGAGATTCGAACCCGGGTCTTCTGTAAGAACAACCAGTATTCTTAACTGCTGAGCCATCTCTCCAGCCCCTCATTTCTTAAGTGTTATAAAATACTGTTTTTAATTTACAACATGATAAGGATCTAATTGATGTAGTTTTCATAAATAAAAGTTTTTGTCATTCTTTGCAATTTATAAGAATATTAAAAGTACCCCGAAACCACAAATTTTGAGAACCACTATGCTGGCTGAGTAAATCTGGTCATATTCTAACTTTTTGCTTTTATTTTTTTGAGACAGGGTCTCATACTGTAGCCCAAGTTGGCCTGGAACTCACCATATAGCCATGGGTGACCTTGATTTCATGGACTTCCTCTTGCCTCAGTGTCCAGAGTGCTGGGATTATAGTCATGAACCACCCTGCCTGGTTCATACTCATTTTTTAAAGCTGTTTTAGACCAATTTGTATTATTTTTAAAGGCATTTTAGACTAATTTATATTCACTTTATATTTAATTAGGTGTATGTATATGTGTCTCTGTGTGGGTATGTGACATGAATGTTAGTACTAGAAGAGGCTAGAAGCATCAGATTCCCTGGTGCTAGAAGTGCAGACAGCCATAGGCCACCTGATGTGGGTGCTGGAAACTGAGCTGCAGGAGCAGTGCATGTCTTAACTGCTGAGTCCTCTCTGCAGCCCCAAGATCGACTTTTGATCATATACTTAACTATATATCATTCAACCATCTTTTTCTTTTAGGTTTGTTTTCTGCTTTAGACATTCATTCAAATTTGGGTGTTATTTCTTACGGTGTTTCCATGACAACGTTGGAAGATGTATTCTTAAAGCTAGAAGTTGAAGCAGAAATTGACCAAGCAGGTAAAAACAACTAAAACTAGGACAAAACAAATAATCATATGAAAATACTGATTATATGAACATATGAAGTTTGCATTAT